CAAATGTATATTATGACAATTTAAGGCAGTGGGTCGAAATTTTCTTCACAATTCTTGTTATCTCTGACATTTTATTTCCAACAAGGAAGTAAAGATGTACTGGTAATTTACATTTTATACATCAATGTATTTGATGGCAGAGATAGGTGTTTTATTGGGTATAGTGTAACTTGTTACTCATTGGTTCAACTTCGTTCCAAAGAAGACATTAGGGTATTCGATTGTCATAACCTACCCCAGTCTAAATACTTAATTTTTAGTTCATCTGTCAAAGAGAGGTCCATCATTTAATAAAAATATGTAGATGTAGTTAAACGACCCAAATAATGGGCGAGTACTCTCTCTCTCTCTCTCTCTCTCTCTCTCTCTCTCTCTCATACACACACACACGCAAGTGCTGTCGACCAGATAAAAAAAATCAAATTGTTTAAAATGTAAAAGGCAGTTGGTAGTAATTTGCCTTCATATTTCTTGTAATTTTTAACATCCGATCTCTCATTAAAGATGTACTGTTAATTTGAATTATATGCATCGATCTATTTGAAATGCTATGAAAACGAATTATGTAGTAAAATTCAAAGGCAGTATGATGAATTCGACTGCCATTAACTACTGCAGAAAGGTTACATGTATGAGGAATTCGACTACCATAAACTACTATACAGAAAATAATAAGGTTATGATGAATTCGACTATTATAAACTACTCCCGAAATGTTATGAGAAATTCAAATGCCATAAATTACTCCATCAATGTCATGAGTAAGAGCTACTGTTCTCTACTACTCCTACAATTTTACGAGAGAACGACGAGGATGACCTACTTCAGCAATATTATGAGGATATATTTACTTAAAGAATGGCTTCAGAAGTTCTATCATCACTTTCACATATTGATTGACCATAGCAGTTTTTTTCTTAACTTTTCTAGATATATAATAGTCTTGAATTCTAAATATCCACTCTTTTATTTGACATTATCAGCAGTTTGCTCCATTGCTCTATCTTTAGTTTTCTATGTTGTGTTTTGTTTACTGTTGTTTGTGTTTTTTTTGTTGTTCTTTTTTGGTCATGGCGTTGTCAGTTTAATGTCGACTTATGAGTTTGACTGTCCCTTTTGGTATCTCTCGCCTCACTGTTTAGCTTATCATTCTGGTGTGTTCGCACTTGGACTTGATATGATTATCAAGTTATATGACTAATTCTGCTTGCATAGTAGAAGATTAAGTTGCATTTGGTCTAATATTTTGGAGGTCATTTAATTTCGATTGTCACTCTTTAGTGTCGACTTTTGAATTGAACTATATTGTTCAGTTGGCGCTGTTGTATAATATCGTCAAATCAAAAACCAGACAGGCATGCTATAGAGTAAAGGGGTGCTTGCAAAAAAAAAAAAGGTTTCGGTGGATCTAATCTATATCAGCTTTTACATAAGGAAATGCCTGTACCAAGTCAGGAATATGTCCGTTGTTTTCCATTCGTTAGATGTTGAATTTCTCTTGGAGTTCGGTATTTTTGTTATTTAACTTTTTTCTACAGTTTTTGAAGAGTTTTATCGTGACTTTTTTTTCAATATGACTTTAATTTGAATTTGAGATGACAACTGACCAGCTGGTGACTAATATACGTTTCCATAGAATTCCTTCCATCAAATAATCATTATTGGTCATGGAAACTATAGAATTGGTCGGTAAACAGTAGGAAGGCAACATCTTCTTCTTTTTATAAACAACAACAAAATCAAAGAGCATAGAATTTTTTTTTTAAATAAGCTTCGAATATGTTTTCCCTTTCGAAGAACTTAAGAACATCCATAGTTTCTGGTTTAATTATGTTTCTCAGTCTTAAGTTTTCTATGAAGTGATTTTGTGGACTTGTTTGTCTTTTTATCGTCTTTCTGTTTTGCCATAAAGTATCGAATTTCTGATTCTTTTGGTGCCAAGTCTGGTCAATGCTACCTTGTCCCGAGGATAAAATCATTTCTGTTTCAAACGATATCAACGTTGTATAAACACAAAATTTACAGAATTACAACATCAATGAAACCGGGCAGGTAACATCGGTATCGAAGCGTTCCTCAACATTGAACCAATGATATCGACCGTGTTGTGGTAATTAAATAAGTCATCAAATTTATCAGATCAGGCTTAACATTAAGTATACCAAAGCAATATTCAACAGAAGACGGGAATCTAAATAGTCCTATGTATATAATTGTTGCAATTTAAAAGAAACAATCAAACATCTTCACCACCTAATTCTCTAAACAGCAACAACAACAACAACAACAACAAAAAAAAAAACAGAAATAAGACAATCCTGCACCGACGGGGTTCCTTATTTGGTAAGACACATGCTTATTTGACAAGATTAAACCATAGTGCTTTGAGATCTCAACTGTCTCCTTCTTTTTATGGCAACCACCCCATTTTTAAATTTGTGTCTGATGGTTTTTTTTATAACATCTTTAATCTAAATTAAAAAAAAAAAAAACAAAAAAAAAAAACATCAATACCAAAAATGCTGAACTCCTAGGTAGATTCGAGTAAGTTAATGCAAAAACGTCGAAACTATAAGTCCAACTAAAAATACCAAACGTTCGACTTTATCAACCAACAGAACAACTGTGTAAATATACATTATAGATATAAAACATAAGGGGAAGGCCATATACTATCATTTTCGGGGGGTTGGGGATGGGGGTTGAAAATGAATATCCTGGTCTGGCAATTGCTAAAAATAGATAACCTTGCATTAGACAGGCTGAAATTCTGCAGCACAAAATGCAAGAAATTGCGTACCAAAGTGCAAATAAATTTTCTCAGAAAAGCATGCGTAGCAACATATGAAAATATAAGTCAATCCGCAACTAATCTTCCTGAATCCACCCTCCCTCCAAGAATATCAAATGACCGTTCACCAATTGCATTAATTAAAGAAAACAACAAACAAAACAATCGTCAAGGATTACATACAAATCTAACAAAGAGGACAACAAAACAATCGTCAAGGATTACATACAAATCTAACAAAGAGGACAACAAAACAATCGCCAAGGATTACATACAAATCTAACAAAGAGGACAACAAAACAATCGCCAAGGATTACATACAAATCTAACAAAGAGGACAACAAAACAATCGCCAAGGATTACATACAAATCTAACAAAGAGGACAACAAAACAATCGCCAAGGATTACATACAAATCTAACAAAGAGGACAACAAAACAATCGCCAAGGATTACATACAAATCTAACAAAGAGGACAACAAAACAATCGCCAAGGATTACATACAAATCTAACAAAGAGGACAACAAAACAATCGCCAAGGATTACATACAAATCTAACAAAGAGGACAACAAAACAATCGCCAAGGATTACATACAAATCTAACAAAGAGGACAACAAAACAATCGCCAAGGATTACATACAAATCTAACAAAGAGGACAACAAAACAATTTGTGTAATTGCTGGTAAAACATACTATACTACGAAAATATTTAGCAACACAACTTCAGACTTAAAATAAAGTAACACAAAAATTCGATTAATATCTTTGAAGTTTATGTTTTCTTAATCTTCAATCATTTGTGTATTCAAATTTGTCAAATCTCAGAGAGCTACACTGTTCGCAAACTTTTAGGGAAGGGGTCAAAATTGGAAGTCACGATTTTAACAATTGTTTGGGTATGCTCTAGTTAAAAAAAAAATCATACAACGCTAAAAAATGACGAAGTGATGAATCCGATGGCATGTACATATGAACAGAAAATAACATTTCCCTCGCAAACAAAAGATGAAAAATAAATAAATAAATTGAGAGGGGCACCCCCCCCCCCCCCCCCCCCACCCGCCTCATTTTAACAGAATTTTTTATTTTTTTATTTAGCAAATCAACATTTTTTACCGGAATGCTGTTAATTTCAGATCATTTTGAGAATTTTCTACAAAACTATGAACCCTTAAAGTTTGGCCCCCATTATTCTCAATGGAAGTGTTGCTAAACTTTATTTGGGTAGTATATAAACGATAGGGGGAATTATTTTGTCCCAATCAATTCGCAACTATGCTGGTTTTTTCCAAATTAGTCAAACGTGCATTGAATATATAATTATATTTTTTATAAAGGAACAAGGAATATTTACTTTATTGTCATATCATGCTTTCTAATTGTTCTTTACATGTACGAAAATATTTATGAAAAACATTTTTCCTGATTGATGGCAAGGCGTATCTTTATTGTTTATATTTAGCTCCTATGTGTACAAGTATTCCAAAGTATCATTTAGTTGTCCTTTTGATTTTGTTGGTAAGTTTTTGTATTTATTTTGTTTGAAAAGTATTTATTTCTGTAATCAATGCTATTTCATTTTTATTGGCGGAGATTAAATGATAAACAAAATGTTTTAGATGTAAGATGTCAAGTAATACATTTTCACACCTTATATCGGTACTTCAACACATGCACACGATTGCAAAATCCATTGTATTGTAACGGCAATTGGAATGTCAGAAAATATCGCCTGGGCACGATAAAAAAAAAAAACACAGATCCTAGTGTGTCTGTCGTATAGTCACGTTATAGCCGGCTATACATGGTGCAATTTGGTTAATTGGAAGAAATATTTAATCGAAAATCATAATGTAAGTAAAAATATTCAGGTACTAAATATGGAATACCACAAATAATGCAAGTGTGATTAATGGTATCAACATGATTGTGATTGTGGTGATGGCATGAAATGTGTTAAAAGGTCAAATGTTTCCCTTGATTGACCCCGAGATTAAACCATATTAAGTAACGGATAAATACCTTTATCAAAGTATTTAGGACAGGAAATATATATACCGTCATTCTTTTGTAAACGACATGTACATGTGGCTGCATGTAAGCTATGTAAACATACCTATCTATATATATGTTAATGTGTATTTTAAATCAGGTAAAGTGGGATTGTTCAAGGTTGGAGGTCAGAGTTCGGTGTTATAATTTGGTGGGATTTCCCCAATGTATTTCACAACTGTCTCTCACTGACAACATTCAAAATATAGTTTTCATTCATGAAAAGAATTTGTGAGTCACCAGCAGTAGCACTGTTTTGCTTCGAGTTTAAAGTAGCTGTAGTCATGGAAAATATTATTTGTACTAAACATTAGGATTTTTTTGTAGGTTTTCTCTGGAAACTTTATCCCAAATGTAAAGCAACTTAATTACTCCATAGAAAGTACTGAGGGATATTTACAAACCAAAGATGAGTAGAAGTGCAGTTATGTTTCGTCAAAACAGTAAAGTGGAGAAAATTCCAGATGATGAAAGCGAAGAGCTTTTGTCGAAGAAAACAGACGAGGATGAAAAAAGTGACCAAACAGAAGAGGCTTCACTCAAGAGACCTAATTCTCAAATAACATCAAACAATTTTGTGCGAGCACTAAGTCGGACAAGTGAAAAGGACGAAAATACAACAGAATTAACCTTAAATGGCAACTTGCATATTATTATGCCAAATACAGACGAAACTTGTGGAGGAGCAATTAAATTACGAAAAGATAATTGTGATGATACCGAGATTGATATTGAACCTGATGAAAAACTTAAACGTAGGAAACAAAAAGGATGGTGTAGCCTTCTGAAATTAAATTGCTCAAAACAAACAATTTTGAATATAGTATATGGATTACTTATTATATCAGCATTAATTATTGGGATCAAAGCTTTAATCAAATACTCTGAAGATGAACATGACCGTTACTTCTACTGCTACCCTTGCCAAAATATGAACATTTATATCAAATATACTAAAAGAGTTGATAATATGTGTTGCACAGATAATCCTGTGGAGGAAACTGCATTGCCAAAGGTTTGTTGTTCTTATCAAAGCATATGTAGGTCAAAACATACTGTAGTACGTACGGGAATTTCCTATGTAAGCATTTCTTTAAATAGAACTAAAACGTGATATATTTTACCCGTTTACCACCTGACAATATTTGTCAAATTTTGAATGGTTATTAAGTTTGGTACTGTGCCAAAAGATAATTTCAAGTTAGATATTTTACGCCTTTCTTATTTGATTGGGTACATCTTCGTGTTTGTTTTTCTTAGTCCAAAATAAAAATATTTGCGCTTTGAGGGTAAATCTGCCTACCCTATTTATGCCTAAACATATCTATATATCCTTCAAATATCCATTTTATTATTGCTCTTTTCGTATCTCCTCCGTATACTTTTTAAATTCCCGGCCTTTTATATAGAAACTAGAACATTGATTGGGACATTATAAAAAACAGCATGGCTAAGTTTCTATTAACAATATTCATATAAGAAATCCGTTTGATTATGTCGTGATCTCCGTATACTTCCCCATACACTCACATCCACACCCACAAAAATGAATAGACGTTGCCTTCTTTAACATCGGAACGACAATCGAGCTACATTATATAATCGTGCGATGTATTGTTTATGCATCTATTCTTAAATGTGGTTCACATTTTTTCCGTTGGACGTTGCAGCAGACAAAAAGCCCTAAAATCCCTAGCATGGCCATATTTTAGTTAATTATAACAAACTTATTTAATAACTCCGAAACCTTGAAAATTGAATAGACCATGAAAAGTGATTTATCTACAAAGGTTTGAAATATCTGTCTTTAAGCCGAAAAAAATATTGATGTTGATTCGCTCTTTCCTGTGACCGGGTTATGATGACATTTCTCCCCTCAAGATAGTAAAACTTTATTTAACGTTTCAAAAAACCCAATATTAGCAATCAGAGGCGGATTAAGGTAAGGGGACCCAGGGACCCGGTCCCTTATAGAGCTCCATATGTATATAGTTAATGCATAAACGGTTTACATGTCCCACCCAAACTTTGGGTCAACGTTTGGGGCCCCCTTTTTTACAAGTCTGGATCCACATCTAGTCATTATGCTAAAATATAAATTCAAGAGTTGAAATATAGTGTACTAATAACTCTCGAGCGAACAGAAATGTTTTTTTTTATGTGTTTGTTAATTTAGTCTTTAATCACGTGCTAGCCCCCATAATCAGATATATATAGATTCTACCACTGCATCGAGTGTGATACGATATTTATTCACTCGAGACAGTTAAATTTTCAAATTTAAAACGCGAGGCTCGCCGAGCGTTTTAAATGTTTAAAATTTAACTGTCGAGAGTGGATAAATATCGTATTACACGAGATTTGGTGGTGGAATCTGTTTCTCTAATGATTTTCAAACAATATGCAGGCAAACTTATTCCTTCTTTTTGAATGATTTGCAAAAAGATGTGTTCTTTCTATGTGACGTCATCAGGCATGGTCGCCTTTTTTCATGCCGTCACAATAGGAAATTCAGAGGAAAGCAAGAAAATTCGACGTCATAATCGGATTTTAACCAATGAAGAACTGAGATCAAACGAACCACACGTTGATTAAATTTTTTTTATACAATGGGTGCAGAAAGGGATAAATTGACGAAGAATTAGAGAAATATATATATATATATATCACCTTAAAATGAACAAAATAAACTGTGACGTAAACAGTAATCCTTATATAACCATTCACTCAAAGTAGAAACAGGATATAAGGAAACAATTTACTATACAAATAAAGCAAAAACTAATGTTTATACCTGTTATTGTGTTCCGTATTTGACTGATGGCTAGATACATCGTGTTTACTGTCTATCTTGGCGTAGCATATAACAGTGTCTATCAATGGAGGAAAAATATATCTAAATAAGATCTGTTCCTTTTAAGGTTGTTTACATTTCCCTCCGACCATTTGTTGATACTAAATGTATACGACTATACCATATCATTTTCGCTAAATAAAGTTCAGTTTGTACATGATTTTCAGGATATCCAACGATGAACTAGTGGGAATTTTACATTGAGTTATCTAACATATTTATTGATTCTTTCTTTTTTTTTTTATTTATTTGTGATTTTGTCGCAAAACTTTATATTGTGTTTAGAAATACAAAAAAAAAAAAATGGAAGTTTTATACTGATAAAAATGTCACGATGAAAACTATTTCTTTAATATAGAGGAACAAATTCAATGTTTTTTCTGAAATAAAATTGTTGATATCAAGCTCTTGTGAAATAGAAAAAATAAAGATAAATTATGATTATAACATGTGGCCTTTTTCTTTTTATGCGTACAAGACAATAAGGTAATAAATAACCTTCATTTTTATTTCAGAGCAGTCCTCTTACATCACAAGAAAAAAAAGTAGTAGGTGAGAATTATATATTCATACATTATATCACTGCTTTTCAATAGCAGTCAAAAAGTAATGGTAGAAAAATGTATCTTCATAATCTTACTAACTTTACTACAAAAACCGTTGAATAAGAAACTTCTTAAAAGCAACAAACAACATGCATGGATTCATATGCCTTATTTCATTAAGATATCTCGTCTAAGCAAAAGTAGTTTAACTCGGACACACATTTATGTGCATTTCCCAAGTCGGAACCTCCGCGACTATGGTTACCTTAACGTTAAGCTATATACTGTAATGATTTTTTTGTTTTTTGTTTTTTATCATTTTAGAGATTTAATGTTGCTTGGCAAATCTTTGAAAGTCTCTGTTAAATCTATTCACAAATTTTCTCAACTCCACTGATATATTGTAAACACACGTTATATTATGTTGGTCCATATTTGTCTAATTTTGTGTCGTTGTGTTGCTGTCTCAATCAGTTATACCACTCATCTCCATTAATTCACATATTATAGTATAGTTATTGTTTATTTTCTTTCCAGATACATCATCATACAATGGCACTAGGATCCTTGAGTTCCAAGCTAATTTTGACACGCAGTGGGAGAGAATCGGCAACAAAGGTTTGTCAAAAAAAATTTGTGATATGATTGAGTTAAAAAGAAAGACATAAATTGCAGCTATTATAGAAACTTTCTTCCATATCAACATTATTCAAATCGTTCTTTTTTCTATTTGATTTTACATAAACATCGCATGTTTTTAACTTCAGCATATTTTGATGACCTTAAAGAACATGCATTATTTAAAAAAAAAAGATTAAAAAAAGAAATAAGAACATGCATTCTCATATAGCAATAGGTAGACATCATAATTCTATTTTATGTAGCCTTTTGGAGATAATACAAATACTTTTTTCTTTTATCAGATATCATTCCATGGACTCCAGTCACCAATATGGACACCAGTTTTGTAACTTTCATTAAAGGAAGAAGCGAATTGGAACTGCTACACGACGGGAATTATGTTATAACGTTGTCCCTGACTACAGATACTTTCAGTAGCAAATCTGTTGACGTTCGAGCGATGGCATGCCTTGTTTTCCAGCCACCTTTTGGAGAAAACCCAAGGGAGGAATGTAGACAAATCACACATGCTGACAAGATGGTCGTACCTTTTCAGATTTTCAAGTTTGATAGTCTCAGAAGAGGGACAGTACTACATGCTTTCATATTATCATCGAAGGGCGGCTTCAAAACACAATCAACACATAACAAACTGTACTTAGTGCTGTTGTAAAGACCGTACAAAGGGCAGTAACTCAAACTAGAAAATAAACTGTGATATGAATGTGTGTTTTACATGGTTTTTGTTGACCACTATAATTATGAATGAGCGATTGATTGAAAGCGACGGAATGAAATAAGTAAAGTATGAAATAGATGAATGATTCATGAATGTTTAAAAAATAGTTACTCTCAGAGTAAACATTTTGCATCCTCTGTCAATGTTTTATTTGTCATGTATACATACAAAGATAAATTTATAACATACATATATGTAAAAATAATGTATTATTTAATGTAAATAAACAAATATGTATATAAATGTAGATACAAAATAAAATATTTATATCTAACTTGATTTATGTACATAAATGCACACAAACAAGAAGTTCAAGGTCATATATACTATAATTATTTATACAAGAATGACATTGAAATGTAGTGTTGAAATATTACCGAAATAAAGACTACTGTCAATCTATCCAGCAATTCTCTTTATAAAAAGCTATCCTGCAGTTCGTCAGCCTGCAATTGCGTTTGGAAAACTACTTGAGCGACAATCTTATTTTTTTTCAAAATGATGGGTTTTGACTTTTTGGTCGAAAAAAAGACTTACATAGAAAATCAAAGATTTTAATATTCCATTAACACATTTCTAACTTTTGTTTACAGATTTCTAACTCACATTTACGGTTTTGTAAGTAGCATTTACAACAAAGTAATCATGATGATGATTCAAACTAATTATTATCTGTTAAAGTGCCTAACAAGATTTTGACCTTAAAACGATCGTATTGAATTTTGATGTCCAAAAATAGTCATCCTGCCTTTTTTTTTTTTTGCAAATAATCTCATCCTGCCTTTTTTTTTACTCAAAACTCCTGTCCTGCCTATTTTTTTCAAATTTCATCCTATAGCCCCCCCCCCCCATAAAAATCAAATGGTAGCTCCCTAACAACCAGTGCTATTAAAATAATGCATGATTTTAACCAATTTGTTTCTTTTCTGTTATTTTTCCTTTTTTGTCAGCCCGCAATAGGAGGCAACTGCCTACATGCCTCCATGTAATTTACGGCCCTGGACTGGGCTACTAATATAAGGAAAGAAGTGCTAAAAAGCTGAATGAAGAGGAAAAAGTATCTGAAAAAATAAGAGACAATTTGAATCAATTGCCGACAAACTAATTCAGAACTACATCTCTACATTCCGTATTTGGTCTAACGTCTTGTTAGGACAATTAACGGAAGAGCAGTGTAGGATGCCAACCAAAAGATAAAGTACAACAAAAACAAATCCAACAGCAGATCAAAGATTCCGCGTTTTTAAAGAAAATCAAAAGGATAGATGTATGTTCTCTTGAATTAAAAAAAACACCAAGACGATTCTTAAGATTGGTAGCCTAAAGTCTAGACATTAAAGCAGAGTCTATAATCTCTAGCCGTAAAGAACTGTCAAGACAATGAGTTGGAAAGTGGGTACCCCTAAGCGAATTTTATAGAATGGCTTTTTTCCATGTTTCGGACGAAACTTTTTCTGTTTTTAAGAATACTTACCCCATAAATTCGATACTATCTCGCTATAGTACTAACTTATAGCTATTCATTAAAGCAGAGTCTATAACCACTAGCCATAAAGAACTGCCGAGACAATGAGTTGGAAAGAGGGTACCCCCAATGCGTATTTTATAGAATTAGGCTTTTTTCATGTTTCGGACGAAATTGTTCGGCCTTTAAGAATGCTTACCCTAGAAATTCTTTACTATCCAGTTGTAGTACTATCCAATAGCTATTCATTTAAGCAGAGTCTATAATCCATAGTCAGAAAGAACTGCAGAGACAATGGGTCGGAAAGTGGGTACCCCTAATACGCAATTGATAGAATTTGAATTTTTTTCCATGTTCCGGACGAAATGTTTTGGTTCGTAAGAATTATTTTGACGAAATTACGATACTATCATACTGTGTTATAGATAAAATACTTTTAAGACATCTATAATGTGAATTACTGGTCAAGTATGAATTTCAAAGTTGCAAGTTTTTGTTTTGACTGAATATTGTGAGTTGTTATGTCGTTAACCATTTTCAAATAGTCACAAAGTTTTGATATAAGCATAAATTTTATTGTCGGTAATAGATGTAAAAATAAGTTTAACATCGTTTTAATACATTTAAGTCGTAAATATGGGTTAAAAAATCGCAAATGTGAATTAAGAAGTTGAAAGAAAAAAATTTTATTTTCGTTATTTTATGTAACGATGGATTTAGATATTGAATTTTGAATTTTCAGTCAAAAATATGAGTGAAGAAATCGCAAAAATGAATCATGAAATTGTATGAAAATGTTAAATTGTCGGTATGACAAGTGAAAAACCCTCATTTTTGATGAAAATAGAATTGTCGCTCAAGGAGCTTTCCAAACGCAATTGCAGATGACGAATAGCAGGATAGATTTTTAAAAAGAGATTTATAGGAAGAGAATTGCTAGATAGCTTTACACTAGTAAACAAAAGTACATTATGATTTTGTTAAAAATGATATTAATGATAATGAAAAAAATGGTAACCATCTAAGGCTGAAATATCAATCAATACACATTCAACATCAACATACATGCACGAGGTAATTAGCACAGAAAGCTAAGAAAGCAGCATGAAGAATCAATCGTTTAAAAAAATGGTGTAGTAACTGGTAATAATTTGTAAAACACCCCAGTCGTGTACGTGCATATCGTCAAAAGCTTTGTCATGCAGAGAATTGTATATTATTCATAAGAACGAATAAGAGTTTGGCACTCATCGCGATACATCCAATCAAGACTGTGAGTGAAATCACGACATGTAAAATATGGTTTACTATTAATAAGATATACATGTACGTAGGTAACTGGCAATAAAAGACGGAAAAGGGCAAGTGATACTTTGAACAATTTCTGCCGTAATGTTTTTAAAAATAATTCAGATATCTTGGTAGTACAGTAATACATTTAAAAACGGTATTTACTTAGAGCTAGGCAACTAACCTTACAAGACTGATAAGACCTGTGCGAAAGAATTTAACGGGAAACGAAACATAACATGATAATGGTAAGCATAGAATTTAGAGCAATGACATATGTTGAAACTAGGAAAGGCGGCTTCATTAAAGATAAATCCACGGTACATGCAAAAACGTCTGGTCCTACCCAACACACACTCTATTTAAAGTGATCCTGGTATATACCCCAACATAATCAACTAATTGTTTATGAACGACATATTTGACACTCGACGTGAGAGGATCTGTACTATTAAAACGTCAGCGTGTAAATCTTTGTATCATCCGATTAAACGGAACGGTGGTACTTTGATTAGGGATTTTCAGTCATGTAGGTATTCTTTCCTTTAATGATTTGTCTCTTAGACATGCTTTGTTAATAAAGGTCTATATTTAACTAAAAGAAACTTTAAAAAAACAACGCAAAAAAGATTTAGTTACTACAACCAGAAAATATTCTTCGGATATACACTAAAGTATTTTAACTACTTTGTGATATACCATTTTTGCAGTCATAATATCATATACTACAACCATCATCAAATTGCCGATGTGATGGCTGATGAGCTCGATGGAGTCGTTTGGAAATTCCGAGAAGGAAAAACAAGAGCATCGCATTTTTTTTCTCTTCAAAGGGTTACTTTCATTCACTATATTGATTCTGAATGAAAGATTTACAAAAGATCGAGCTACTGGCATCGCAAATTAAACAATTTATGGAACTATTAGAGACTCATAGGAATGCAACTTAACTTTACCTAAGTACCCGATTTACTCGGTTTGAAATGTTTTAAATTTAAGTCATTTTTTTCTGATGAACGGGAAATAACCCCGATTGAATCATGTTCCATGTACATCCCGGATATCTATACAATCCAAACATATCATGATACAAATGAATACTTAGAAAATTAAACATTTTCATGGTCAGTTTAAAAAAAAATCCAACTTTGAACCGAACTTTTAATACGAAATGTTTTCTAGTTAAGCAAGTTTCTTGTGTTAAATATTGACCTGTTAAAACCACATTCAATTGACAATATTAAAAAATAAAAAGATGCGGTATGATTGCCATTGAGACAACTTTCCACCAGAGTACAAATGACGCAAAAGAAAGCAACTATAGTTAACTGTATGACATTCAACAATAAGCAAAAACCCATACCTCAAAGCATACGATAAAAGGCCCCGACATGACAAATGTAAAACTTTGCAAACGAAAAAAAAACACAACCTAATAGCCTGATTTATGTACAAAACAATAAACGAAAAACAAATGTGATTTACAGTAACAAACGACAGTCACTAAATTACAGGCTCCTGACCTTTGACAGGCTCATATAGAATGTGACAAGCTTAAACATTTTTGCGGAGCTCAACACTCTTCCTAAACGTTGACAATGGTGTTACAGCAAAACATAAGACAACCATAAAATGCATATATACAAAGACTAATGTCAGGTGTTGGTGTCTGATGTGGTCTTTTGTACTGTCATGTTTTTTTTGTATAATTCCTTTTGTCCGTTTAAGTATAAAATAATGAATTACCTTTGCACCAACACATTTAATTATAAAATACTATATAGATAGAATTGAGAATAGAAACGGGGAATGCATCTCTTTCAACAACCCGCCAAAAGAGCAGAAAACAGCCCAACGCCACCAATGGGTCTTCAACACAGCGAGAAAATCCGGCACCCGGAGGCTGGATTCAGTTGGTCCATAAATAATAATGTATACTATTTCAGCGAAAATGGACGTCAAACTTAACTCCGAAACATATAAATGAACCAACATTACAAAACATACGAGACTTACAAAGGTAGGAGATGCATACAGTCCTTTAATTTCAATTTCCAACGCCATTCCATTATCTTATACATTCTATTAATTAAACATATGAATTATTTTGCGCCTAGAATATTAGCTTATACGATACACAGTAAGCATACTTTTCTTTCCATTCATTATCAGGTAACCGTTTGTTAATGGTAGGTTAAAATTTTGGTATAAGGTAGTTTGGGGTTACATAAACTTGAAACTTTATATACATCTTCATTATTACGGGAAAACTGTTTTATATATGCAAAATTAGGGTATTGAGCAAAATGTCCGGATGCACAAAACATGTAAATGCGATAGTGCTAGCGGTCATGGTGCCCTATGGACACATATTCTTGTTTTCAATAACTTAAACTTCAGAGCAATGTTATCTGAATAACTTATGACATATACCTAGATATACTTTGATTCACGTTCAAATCAAATAGAACTGGCATTGAAGTAATGTAAATACAAAAGGGATAACAACCAATTAAATT